GTTACAGTGGAACCCTCTCTGGGTTACAACCCTCCCACTTCATCGTCATACATGTCTGCCACGCTAAGAAAGTACAACAAGTGCTTATGAAGCAGTAGTCATTTTGGTGTTGACACAATGTTATACTGTAAGTTACTGTGGTATTCAAACACACACCATTGTTTGGGATACAGTCGTATTGTGATTGTATTACTGGGTTTGTAATCCAGAGGCCTGGGAGAATACTCCAGAGAAACTTGCATTTAGAACCCAACGTGGAAACTTGAGAATTTAAATTCAAGTCAAAAAAAAATGTTGAGCTAAAAATCTGGTGTTAGTGGGAGTGACTGTGAAGCAGTCATATTCTCAGCAATAAAACAAGGATTCAATTCCTTCCTCAAGACCCTGACAGTCTGGTCTCTATGTGACTCCAGTCCTTCTACAAGCATGTTGTCACATTAACAGGCCTTTAATGTGTTCTGGTAAGCCACTCCATCATATTAAGAAGCTACTCTCTTCCCATTGTGTCAGTGAATCTAGAATCTCCTACAGTGTGGAAGCAGTCCCTTCGGCCCATCGAATCCATAATGACCCTCCAAAGAGCATCCCACCCCATCCCCACAACCCTGCATTTCCCATGGCTAACCCAACTTATCTGCATATCCCTGGACATTATGGGGCAGCTTAGCATGACCAATCCACCCTAACCTGTGCACCTTTAGACAGTGGGAGGAAACCCATGCAGACACAGGGAGAATGTGCAAACTCCACACAGTCACCCGAGGTTGGAATCAAACTCGGGTCCCTGGCATTTGAGGCAGCAGTGCTAACCACTGAGCCACCATGCCATGAGAAGTCAGGATACATGATGGTCTTGCCAGCAATGACCGTATTCTGAAATTTTTGTCTTAAATTTAAGTTTGGTTTCCACTGCTGTCTGTCCATGCATTTAGGGGAGAGGGTGGAGTCATGTTACCTGAGCAGTACCTAAAAAGATTAGGTTAATGTTTCAGGGACGTGGGTTCAAATCCTTACCAGGGCAACTGATGGAATTTAACCTCAATTAACAAAATCTTGAATATAAAACTAGCCTCAGAAATGGTATTGATTATTGTAAAAGCCCACCTAGTTCACTGATGTTCTTTAGGGAAGGGAATCTGCCATCCTTACCTGGCCCTCCATGTGACTCCAGATCAACAGCAATAGGGCTGACCAAATTGGCCGCCCAATTCAAGGACAGTTAGGATTGGGCAATGAATGGAGGTGTTGCTCATATTCCAAGGAAGAATAAAGAAGGAAGTAGACGGTGGTTTTGGTTTGACAGGGCAAGGGTAGATGAGAATATAGTAAATCATCTGTTCCTCCATGAGCTGTCACTGCTCACAGCTGGGAACAGCTAAGATGTCCACCACGCAGTCCACTGTTGACACATATTTCTTGTGACAATTCTCGCCCAGGTAAGAAACAGGAGGGCAGCTGCTGTTAGCTCCCCAACACCTGGAATAGTGGATAGAGGGATTCAGGAAAGACAGGAAGATTCTTGGCATGATGTTGCTGCACTGTTTGCTATTCCTGGACAGACGACTCATTCACTACCATTGCAATCTCATTCCTCTTGCCCCTTCCTACTATAATCAACCCTGTTCAGGGATATTGATACACTACTCTGAAGTAGGTGGGACCTGAACCCAGTACTCCTGGTCCAGAGGTAGGGACACTAGCACTGCACAAGCACCCTTCTTCCTTTCTACTATATCTGTGGGCTATTTTTTGTAAAAATGCCTAATTAAGCAAAATAAGTTAGTGAGAGACCTTCAAAGGGGCATTGTAACATCAAAAATTCAACTTCAAGCCAATCAAAATGGCATTTTGTGAGAAGCTGCGATACCGACTGGCTAAGGTTTGAAAGATAATCGTGGACCCCGTGTGCTCCCTCTTCAGCCCCAGCTCCTTGACATTTCATTTACACACTTATTGTATTCATCAGGAACACAGGAACCCAGAACAGTGTTACAATTGGCTCTTAGTCCTTTTCACTTACTAAAAGTCTCTGACTATCAATTAAAAAGTCACAACCTAAACCAAATGTTGAAAGAAAGATAAACTCGTTTTTCATGTTTACAGTGGGTTTTAACAGCAGAGAACAGAGAGATGGCTCCCGGAGTTCTGACCAGTTATCTGTACCTTGCTGCCAGCTCCAAGTGGTTCAGTTACCTAAGAACCAATCATATGGCTGTTGACAGTCAAAAGACATTTGTAATTGCTAATCGATAACTATCCATAGACCAATCAACTTCTTGTTACTATCCCTGAGCTCCATCTGATATACAGAACCCCTTTGGCTCCAGTTTATCTGCGACCTAATCTTCAATAACTGCTTGGTCAAGCAACTGTTCAAACAGTGCCAGCTTTGAGTGTCAGGATACTTACTTTTCAAAACATGCAGAGATACCTTAAACATTGGTTTTAAATCAGCTCTTTCTCATTTAAGTCCAGAATTGTAAAGAGCACAAAAAGTAAAAGATATGGTCTTTACACTATCTGATCGAATACAGGATATTCCTGCGGTAGGTTCTCTTCCTGTCTCTCCACTAACTGCCTCAAGATCATTGCCTTTCCTTTCTACCTCATTCACGTTCTTCCGCTTGGAGAAACGATTTGTAGACATCTTATTTTCCACTTGCACTGACGCTGTGGGACTCTATCTATCCCCCACTTCACCGCAGACTTGGTGTTGTCAGCCTGTTTACCCAATCTTCAGTAAACTGGAGCCAATTTCAGCCAAATATCGGTGACACCAAACTCTTTGGTCCCACCACAAACTTTTGGCTCTTCACTTGGCTCTTCTCATTCCAGGATGACCGGACAGTTAGCAATCCCATCATCCAAGAGATTTGAGCTGGCTGTCTAATTCCAAAATTCTCTCCAGGACAAAGACTTCCACTTTCACCAAGTCCTGCTGTTGGAATGCTCATTAGGGTCTGAATTACCATCAGGCGTGATTATTCAATTATTCCCCTGTCTCATCTCGTATCCTGCACCCTCCAGGCATGTTAATTCATTGGAATCTCTGTTGTATATACTGTAATCCATTCCAAGTCTTTCTTTGCCCATCATTCCCATCTATGTTGACATACTGCTCCTCCAACATGTTATTTTTACAATTCTGATCTGCAAACTCCACCAGGATCTTTCTTGTCCCTGATTCCAACCTCTCTACCTTTCCACACACAAACGGGAGCTAGTCCTTCAGTCTTCCCAGGCTCAACATTCTGAAATGGTGCCCCGATCACCTAATTAAAGAGCCCTCTTTAAATCCACCTCTTCGCCTGCATTTTGTTTGGTCACCCAGCACAATATCTCCTTCTTGGTCCTCGCTTTCAATTTTTGTCCTTGTGCCTGGTGTGGATTTCCTTTGAGTGTTTATTTTATGTCAATGTTTATTGTCAATGAAGATGAATGGGATTTATTTGTGGCCAGTGTGTCGATGTACAGTCTCTTTCTCTGGCCTGTTTCTGCAGTGGACAGTGAGCTGCAGTTTCTAGCAGTTTTGCTGATCACCGCTCTGTTTTGCACACAGCTGGAATGGAGGAGAGAGTGCGAGTGAGCGTTCGTATTAGGGATGTGTAATCACTGTTGACGGCTATTCAACTGGAATGAATAACCACGTATCTGTTTCCACTCCTGCCCAATTAACTTTGTGGGTTCATAGCTAGTGCGGGTGAGAAAGTGTTGGATTTGATTTCCAGGGTGCAGACCACCAGCTGATCACTGGATGTAATTTTAACCCAGCTGACCTGTTGGGCTTAAATTGGGTATAGTGTTGATTATACACCCTGCCTGGTTTTACCTATTGTACTAATGGGAAGCAACATTTAACAGGGAGATGAAATTAACCTTTCCACTGGTCTCGTGGATTTGGTTTGGTTTAAAGTTGCCCCCTTAGAGCAGAGAAGGAGGCCGTTCAGCCCTTTCTGTGAGTAACAGTTCTTTGAAAGAGTGTTCCAATAGACCAATTCCCTCCTTCAGTGTATCCCTGATGACATGCAGCAAATAAGTTGAAATGTCTTCTTTTTAGCTTTAGGGCTCTTCATTGTTGTGAGGGGTTAAATAATACGATGTGCTTGATGGGTAGGCAGTGGTTGCACATCCCTAATGGTGGAGGTTTGGTGTTGCATGTTACTTAGCCACCACCTCACGCATGCATGTAGCCATCTATCTTTGTCCTTGCATGCAGGAGGCTAAACACATAGGAAGTGCTCACAACCGGAGCGCTAAGCCATTCTGTGCCGCTTCCAGCTCATCTCCCAAAGTCATTACCTCACAGTACAACAGCCCAGCCGGCCTTTATTCCGCAGCCAATGTGGAGAAAGTCAACAGTGCCCTCGAGTCAAGAGTAGCTGCCAACCCTGAGCCAAGCAAACCGTAAGTACCGTATCCTCGGGCATTTCCGGATTCATGTCTGCACCAGTGCGGGATACTATTAGAGTGCACGGCTTCACGCTGAACACCTTGTGGTTTTGTGCTCCCTCTAATCGTATGCTTGACCATTACAGAAGAGCTGCTTTCATTGGATTGTCTTATTGGTACCTGTGTCTTGTGGGGTTAAAGATATCAAGTGCCAATCTGAATTGGTACATAATGACTGTCAAACCCAAGATTGGGGTCAAAACTGATCAGCACCATTTCCCCTGGAAATTAAACTTGTGGTCACATGATGGTGTACATTTCTGACTGTTAGGAAGGCCCATGGGAGAAGACCTGAAAAGTTCAGTGACGTATTCCAGTTGAGCTACCTTGAACTTATTTAATTTCCTCTGATTTATTCACTGCTGGATAATGGGGGAAAAAAAGCTCAAAACCTTGATCTCTTCCGATTTCTCCTTACAGGTTCTTTCAGGTGGTCTGCAGAGTCTGCTGGGCTGCAGCTGGTTGCTGCTTCATTCTAATTGATGTTCTGACTTTCCAAAGAGCGAAACACCAATAACTGCCATGTCTGTATTCACTGTGTATTTTTTCAGAGACCAGCTCAATTACAGCGCACACACAGCCTGGTAAATCCGCCAGTTAAACGATCGCCTGGTGTAAGCAGGTGCCTGAAACTTTGATTTACCACAGCTTCATGTCCACATTGTGGTGTTCACAGGCTGCATCCTGAGGATGACCCACACTTTCGGGGCGTGTTTAATGTCCGTGCTGCCTGTGCGCAGCCTCCCTGACTCGCACTGCATGAGAGTCCAGGCACATCCACCTTCCCAATACGCACAGACAGCATCTAGGCAGTGCAAATTCTCAAAATTTCAATTTCTTTACACAAAACCTATCCTGTTCTTCAAAAGCCCTCTTCCTAAATCTCACAGATCCCACTATCTTTTGAAGATAAATTTAATATTAAACCAAGCTGCATGATTAGATAGCGGTCATTGTATAATATCAGTACTGACCTCTTGCTAACTATTTACTTATCTTTGCATGATTCAGACTGATCTCTCATGATTAACTCATTGATATGCAGTTGTTGTCACTTGGATTTCAGTAAAGTATAATAATTGAATTAGTGTTGACTTAAACTTGAAACAACACTCACCGATAGTTACAGTCTCTGTATAACCCTGCAACATAACTCCTGGGACATTTCTGTCACTGTATAACACTAATGTACAGAACTCGTGAGGACTAGTCTGTCACTGTGTAACACTGGGATACAGTACTGGTGGGTACAGACCTGTCACTGTGTAACACTGGGGTAC